TCGGTGATTTAATGGCCATATCAAATCCGTGTAAATGTCGTGGCAACCCAATTAGCGTGATTTACGAGAATCTATTGTTGTCAATCCGTAGACAACATTAATTAATGCTTACTGTCCAAAAATTAAAGTCGTAGCCATTGAAATAACTAACGTAATAACGTTAAATCGTTCTCCTGTGAAATCTTTTACCGATACTACATACGCGGATTTGCACTTCGACTAAAATGGTTTTTGCACTAAGCTGCCCCGGATCTGGTGTAGCGAAAAGCAAAGTAAGTTAAAGCATCGACTCTCTCGTATAATCGAAGCTATAAAATCGAGCACCGCAAAACTCGCCTGCTTGTCGGTTTACTATCGGATACATTTCTATTCAATTTAGTTCCACCTTTGTTCAGTCGAAAGATCGGAACATTCTATTCTTCTGTGTCGTTGATATACCACCCATTTGCACGAAGCACTTTGCTTCCTTCTTCCTAATGCTTCTGATGCTGCAAATAAGCAAATGGAATACGCTACCGTCTACATATTAAGGACTCGTCAAGGGTAAGTACTGCCACCTTACCTATTTCTGCCACCAAGCAGTAATGTGAGAATCACTGCGTTCCGGCTTAGAAGGCTAAGTGCTGGTGAAGTTACAGGCACATGGGACTTGTTAACTTATATCTCAGTGTCAATTAGATTTTTGCGATTTAAAGCTCTCTTTCCATCAGGCGCACGACTTGTTCGTTCGGTCCCTTGATATTATAAAAAAAAAACGAAAATATAGTTTCATTTTCAATATGTAGCGATCGCGAAATCTGTAAGTTAATTTTTCACGTTCTTTGACAGCGAATCGCTCCGCTAATGTAACCGCTGGTACTAACGCCACACGATGTTAATTGCGAACGCGTCGTGCGCTCGTTGCGCAAGAGTGTCGTGAGTAGACGCCACGCCCGTTTGTATCGCGTTCGCGTTCCTAGCCGACTCGTCTTGCCAAGACGACGGGTAGTGCTTGTTTTATAATGTACAGTCTAGACCGCGCTGGCGTTAGCACTTTAGATTTCAATTTAGTTCTATTTGTCTAAGGAAATTAGACTAAGTCATAATTTTAATTAATGAATATATAAGTACACTATTACTAATTAAGTTTGTTGAATTTCGTGATGTTCAATTATTTTTTGTGAAATTACTTCACTAGTTTCTTATAATTATTAATACAAGATACAAGCGTCATAACAACGAGTCAACTAAGCCACGGAACTAACCAGCAAACTTTACAAATTTTTGTATATTGTGCTGGTTGCAGATCTTTTGGTTTTTAACGACTTTTTTGCCGTAACGTCATCTGTAAGAAATCTGATGAGGCGAATAAAGTTTCATAATTGACATTGTCTTTTAACTCTTGGTCGAGTATTACTTGTTTGACAGTAATTGTTTCGGACGGATGTCGAGAGTCGAAATGTCATTTAATTTGTTTGAAAACTATTCTGCCAAATCATTACAGTGACGACTGCGCTCCGATTGGCCAGCCCGAATTCGAAACAATTTTTTTTTTTTTAATTTATTTCCAATCAACTACTTAGGTATATTACAATCACAATTTTACAACATTTAAAAACCACTAATTGACGGGTGTCGCCAATTGCTTCACTTCAAATTGACCAGTTCTACTTGAGCTTTGCTATAATGGACGAAAATGTTGAAAAATTACAAATTTAATATCCAATTGCCGACGAAATGTGATTCCGTTTGTTTTGTAATTAGATGTTTTGCTGTTTTTCCCACACCAACGAACAGAACAGCACGGCATTGTTAGAGATATTATCTTTATTACAATAAATACAGAATATACGGAGACGTACACACGGGTCAGTTGTTGGCGCTGCACTATTTCAGCTTTCTAATTTGTGATGAAGTAGGAAATTAACTTTTCCCTTATTTGTTCGAAATAATAGCAGTAACCTTCCCTACAACTCCCGCCCGCGCAGTAATGTGAGCATTTACTGCTCTGCATTTCATTTTTGAAGGATAAGGGTGAAATAACGGGCACATGATACCTTTCAACTTACGTCTCAGGATAACGGGCGCAGTGGTAGTGCCTCAAATCTTTGTGATTTAAACATCTCAAGTGGCGCTGCAATTGTTGAGTGTTATGACCCATCACTTTGTATTTTAAAAAACGTGCTCTCGGAGAGAGAGAAAGTACTCTGCCTCTTTTTCTTTCTTGCGATCTTCTCTTCTAAATTGCTTAAAGTGTATACACGTATCGTTGCTTTTAAATAATAGTGGCCCAATCCAAAATTGATCCTTTTTTTATTTGTTACTGAGATTTTTCAAAAAATGCTAATTTTTATTGCGGTCGAGTTCTAAGGTTTTTAAAACCTATAATAATAACAAATTTTATTTATTTCCATATTCTTTTTCAATTACAATTACAAGTTATATAGCGATTTCAGAAATACAGTTACTTACAGAAAGTGGAACAGGAAGTAGCAAATGACAACAATGACTCTTGAACTAGGTAAAACCTGTATCTCAGGAGACAGAGGCTCATTGGATGGGTTCCTAATATATATATATAATATAGCAAAACATTTGAAGGGTGGAAAACAAAAATTAACTGAGAGATAAAACAATAATTTGCCAATATTTAACAACATTGGTATGGTCTACGATTCGTCAACTATGAGCGATAGACGCTTCACAGCTTTTTTAAGCCATCTCCTGGTGAAATAGATGCTTTTGAGATAGGCCACTATTCTGGTAAGCCATCGATATGTATTAATTATATTTTATTTTTACGTTTATTCAATGTCACATACCATGATATTGAATATTTTTTTGTAGAATTACTAGTTAGTAATAATTGTTAATACAAAGATTGAACACTTACAACATTTTGGAAACCTAAGCTACAAGTAAGCAATTTTACTTAGTTTAGGTATCACCCCGATTAACTTGCACTACTAACCTTAATTAAAGTTTTGTAAACATACAATAATTTCACTGTTTGCGCGTATATCGCACTGCTATTACAATAGTGTTGTAACTCAAAATATGTGAAATTTAATATTATGTCATTACTGAACGCAAACTTTTATTCTCTACACGTCAAAAAGACCGTCGTTAGAATATTGTAAGAAATAATCAAAATATATCCACTTAACTCAAAATGAGACACACTTTATGTGAGCTAGTTCTGGCCAAAATGATCCTAATTCAAAAATATGAATATAATAAACTATAACATACATAAATTTTAATGATTTTTTGCGGGAAGTGAGTAATTCGTTTTTCATCGATTCTGAGGGTCGTATTCTAGAACTTTACTCAATGCTCAAGTTAGGATTTGAGTATGGTTTAAAGCACTTGATATCATACTTAAGTCCCTGCCATTAGGGTCGTATTTCCAGTGCTTGTGTTGCCCGTGCAATCCTGACTTGAGCATTGAATAGAGTTCTAGAATACGACTCTGAGAAAGTCCACTTTTTGAGTTAATACACTATTGTATTAACAGTGTTATATGTAAATAAAAGGTTATTTAATAAGATTCATGCATTTAGGTTAAATTTTTATACCGAATAAATTTATCTTTTATCTATTTCGACCCGGCTGGATTCGAACCAGAGCGTCTTGTAGCAAACCGTTCCAGACGCTATGCCAACTAAGCCATGGAACGAACCAGAGGACTTTACGAATTTTCTTATGTGCTTATTGCAGATCTTTATTTTGGTTTTTAACGACTTTTTTGCTGTAGCGCCACTTGTGAAAAATCACACAACAAAAAAATTTAATATCATCTGATGATCTTATGGGCACTGCCACTGCGCCCGTTACCCTGAGACACAAGTTGACAAGTCTCATGTGCCTGTAATTTCACCAGCACCCTTACCCTTTCGAAATGGCAATAATAGGTAAGGTGGCAGTACTTCCCCGGACGAACTCTTTCACAAGAAGCTCCACTACTAACCAATACATCGTGATATTGAAATAAACTATAATATGTATAATTATAGAGCATAGAAGAGAAGATCGAAGGAAAGAAAGAGAGGCAGAGATCTTTCTCTCTCTCCGAGACCATATTTTTTTAAATACCAGGTGAGTCGTGCACCTTGTGGTACCTAACTGACACGCCTATCCATGCCAATTGCAGCGATACTGAAGAGCTTGAACGAGAGAGACTGAGAAATCTATGAAAAAAAAATCATCGGTAGTTTTTTTTTTATTATTATTATTATTATTTTTTTATTGTGACTCGGCAATATGACTGCACCGCGCCTGATGGAAAGTGCGAATACAGTCCAGAGATGAGAGTAACGGATGGAAAACACAAATATCTTCACTCCGTCACTATCATTTTGCCGGTCTGGCCAAATGCTTCTTCACACTACGTTTGAAGGACCCGATGTTATAGAGGGGAGGGAATACATGCGCCGGGAGGTGGTTCCACAATTTGATGGTTCGGCATAAAAACGAATTGCCAAACTTTTTAGTACGGGACGGTATTGAACTGGCCGTCCAACTGTGGCGACGCAGTCCGGCACGGGTGGTCCGCTGATGGAAAGGAGAGGAAGGGATAATAATGATAAGGGGGTTTGTGCCATCTACCACGATCCTGTGCTAATCTCACCGATCTACTGCCCGCAACTTTGACAATGTCGTCCACCCATTTCGCTACAGGACGTATCACGTTTTTACATATATCCATTTCTTGGTCACCATTCGGTTATCGCCTTACTCAACCTGTGTTCACCACGTTTCTAAACTAACCTCGTTATCCGCTCTCCTATGTCTTGGATGTCCCGTCTACGGATTTCGGGACTCGATCTATAAGTCTGATGTCGAGCGTGACTCGCTCGATGGCCCTTTGTGCGTCTCTCATTCTGTACACAGTCTTCTGTGTAAGCGTCCACATCTCATTATTTAGTTAATTACTGTTAAAGTGACGAAGGATTTTTTTCTTAGTGTCCGATCAATGTATTAATAATTATCGTTTATTTATTTTTTATAATTTGTTACAGGCATGCGGGCCCCCTGTACAGTTAGAACCGGTTGATTTGAGTCTTAAACGGCGGCCTCCAACCCCAAGACGTCGTCGACTTGGTAAGTGACTTTTAAATTGTTATTTTATCGTATTTTAAGTTATTCAGATTCCTTTTAAACTGCCTACTTAATTCCCAAGGTCCCCCAAAAAAAAAACAAAAAGTTATAAATCAAAACAGAATAAGACGCTAAAAAATTACCGTAAGTACCTACTAACGTCTGAGAAAAACGTTATGCTATTGGTTTCCGGGGAAATCAGAGAGCACAGAAAAAGAACGCCATAGATTATAAAAAAGTATGTACTGTATACTTATGTGTCGGAACCATCGAGTATATAACCAGAAATAGAAACGGGCCATCTATCCCTGGCAGCTCATTATGCAAATGGTTCTTATATCACTTTTAAATATCAACTCTCGTTTGCGCTGAAATCACAAATTAAAAAGCTGAAATAGTACAGCGCCAACAACTGACCTGTGTGTACGTGTCCGTATATTCCAAAAGTATTCTGTATTTATTGTAATAAAGATAATATTTCTGACTATGGGGGGCTGTTCCATTTGGTGGTGGTGTGGGAAAAACAGCAAAACATCGAATTACAAAACAAACGGAATCACATTTTATCGGTAATTAAATTATGTAATTTTTCAACTTTCGTCCATTATAGCAAAGCTCAAGTTAAACTCGTCGTTTTGAAGTGAAACAATTGACGAAACCCGTTAATTATTTCGAATTCCGGCTGGCCAATCGGAGCGAAGTTGTCACCGTAATGATATGGCAGAATAGTTCTCAAACAAATTAAATGACATTTCGTCTCTATTTCTGGTTATATACTCGATGATCGGAACGAAGTGCGTGCTTTAACCAAATTATTGGATACATGGAAACTGCACTACAAAAATGTTAGTTATCAGTAGATCTACAAAAAAAGTTACCAACATGATATACCTGGCTTTTATATTAAAGCCACAATAATGGGTTTTAGTCATAAAAATAAATTGAGAATTATAATATCTTTACGCGTATGTAATAAGTATAATAAAAAATTGTGGACAAAAACTTTTTTTTAACAAAAACACGGGGTCAGAAGCTGAAAGCCGGATTTACATTTGTCTGACGTGTCGTATCGTGACGCGTTGGAACGATATCAGTTTCATACATATCGTATGGTTAGATTATATTAGGTCCATAATATATTAGGTTCAAGTTATAGAAAGAAGCGAATTTTTGTCCATTCCGTTCTGCCGCCATATAAATTGAGTCTAGTGTGTTGCAATCTGACGTGACCGCTTGTGTTGTGTGTAAGAAAACGATACCGTTCTAATGCACCACGACACCACACGTCAGACAAATGTAAATCCGGCTTAAGAGTATCTGGTGTGGATCTCAGTATAGCTGTTGCTTTACGCGCGATCAGCTTTTGAGCTTTTAAGAAATTTGTGTGACATCAGAGCCTAATAGACGACACATGCAAGGCGAACACTTTCTGGCAACACGTTAGACTAACGTCTTACACAGAGATGAGCGAGTGCCGTGGTTTTAATCGGGTTAATGCCTAATGCCCGAAATCGAGAACAATAACTATTTACAATTAAATATTTCGCACTCCTATTACAATAGTGTTGTAACTCAAAATATGTAAAATTTAATATTATATCGCGCTGTTAATACAATAGTGTATTTTAGCTGTTTTTTACAATATTCTAACGACGGTTTTTTTGACGTGTAGAGAATCAAATTTTACGTTTTACGTACAATGGTACAATTTTGATTTTCACATATTTTGAGTTATAACACTATTGTAATTGCAGTGCGATATCATTACTGAACGTAAAATTTGATTCTCTACACGTCAAAAAAACCATCGTTAGAATATTGTAAGAAACAATCAAAAGATATCTACTTAACTTAAAGTGAGACACACTTTATGTGAGCTAGTTGTGGCCAAAATAATCCGTATTCAAAAACATGAAATTGTTTTTTCCATTTTATTTTTAAATATATTTGAGAAATCGTTTAAGTCTATAATAAACTATAACATATGAATTTTAATGATTGTTTTTTTGCGGGTAGCGCCATCTATGAGAAATGTATGCAAGTTTTTGTCACCCAGGTAGATACCTTTACAGCTACCAGCCCTGGCTAGAGATGTCGCAGTTAACTTTAATTAAATTTATGTAAATAATTATAACAAAAAAAATTATTATAACAAACTAGTGGAGTAATTTCACAAAAAATTATTGAATATCAATTCAATAAAAATTTGATTGATTCAACGCTCACTGTTATGCCAAAGACATTTGAGGTTGTATCGACTTTTAAGGTTAATAAGTATAACGTTTAATTTATACTGAATATTGCACCTAAACAGAATTCGTATAAGGTTGAATTTGTTGAAACACGGAAAGCAAGTATAACCACAATCATTAGTAATCTTAAGGTCACATATACGCGGACGCTCTCCCGGATTCAAACCGATCGCATTAATATTGCATGCAGTGATCGTTGAATGTCGATCAATATTGCATCATTTATGAAAGTTAATGGCTGTATAGTAAATGCCTTTGTTAAATTAATGAAACGAGAATAGATTGGAATACACATGTAGAGTACATAATACCTCCCTCTGAAATCATTATATTCTTCTTTTTATGAAGTCCATAACTGTTGCAGTGCCATTTAAATTTTTCTTTTTTTCGAAAAATATTTTGAACGAAAAGTCATATTACAAAATTGAAGACTACGTGCTAGATAAAGATGTATGGAAAGACGACACGGCCCCAAAATCCACACAAATTTGATTCAAAGTGTATTCCATAGCATTTAAGTTTATTTGAAAAGAGCAATCCCTAGAGTTTCTTGCTCGTTCTTCTCAGGGAAGTCGGCGTAATGAACGAGCAGTAGCTTAAGAGGGAGCAGAGGAAAAATTCCTAATCTTCGATTTGATTTTAGAGGGGTATATCCACTTTAAAGTTAAAAATAGAATATTGTATGAGTAACTACACGATATATTCAATCATAGACATTAATCAGAAACATAAAACAATAAAGCTTCCTCGATAGATAAAAATCACGAAATGACCTCTTATTTTTATTTATTATTTATTGGATTGTCCTGAATTAACGGCTTGCATTGGTCTGTGTGCCTGTCCAAAACGCACGAGGCATATGCACTCCTTGTGTACGACCTTAGCCCGTTCGAATTACGCAAAACACTCTGTTTTGCAAAGAATAGTGCGCACTTATGAGGATAGATTTAGAGACGTGGACATCTTCCATTTAAACCGCACTCAATTTCTAAACATATTGAAGGATCACCCCCAGTTTAGAAGGCAATAATTATCAAACAAACAGAGCACAGACACACACACACACACACACACACACACACACACACACACACACACA